GCTTGCTGCGGACAGAGGCTGGTTGCTTTGTGGGATGCAGAGCGGCCTCTATCAGCAGGCCCGAGCTCCCTGCCGTGGAAAGAGGCTGCTTCCTGGCACAGCTTCTCCTGTGTCGTGTCCGGTTCTCTCCTCTTTTCCCCTTTCCCCTCTTCCCCCTCCCCCCCGCCCAGCCATTGCTGCCTGGGTAGAAGGCAGCTGGGGCTGCAGTCCCCTCTTCCCCCTCCCCCCCGCCCAGCCATTGCTGCCTGGGTAGAAGGCAGATGGCGCTGCAGAGCCGGTATGAGGGGGGAGCCTGTTTGAAAGCCGGATCTCTGTACATATGGGCTCCAGTCTACACCCCTTACCCTTAGTGTTGCGTGGGGGAGAGGAAGGCCAGGCGGATCTGGTGCTTTTAAGCCAGCTCCTCATGGGCACTGGCTCCCTTTTCCTCCCTCTTGCTGCCTCTGATACAGAGGCAGCGGGACGGAGGAGGGAGGAAATGCATGCAGACAACAGGATTAACCGATAAGCCCAGTCTTATTGGTTAATCATGTAGTCATGTGCACAATAACATCCCTTCTGGGCACCCATGTCTGTAGTCAGAAAATCTGTGCAGTTCTCTAAGAAAATTGTGCAAGCCTCCTTTCACACACAGCTTAAAACCACGTACATTAAAGATAGGAAAGGTCTCCTAGGTTCCATTTAGTACTGGGGTCAGCAATCTTCAAACCAAAGAGCCAAATTACATCAAAATTCAGAACAAATGGTCAATTAAGAATGCCCATTTGCTTGACTGAAAATATACAACTTAATATAAATTGATAATTGACATGATTAATAATAGCATAAATGAAACATTGCGTCCGCCTGCAGGGAGAGAGGGTGAGAGTGAAAGTTCTGGGGGCAGGGTGTCTGGCTGGAGGAGAGGAGTGAGGAGGTGGAGGTGCAACTGTCTTCTGTCAATCTTATGGCGGGGCTGAGGAAATGGGGGTGCATGAATTTGGTGATGTGGAAGTATGAGGGGCTCAGGGCAGGGAGTTCAGATGTATGATGGGCTCAAGATTGGTGTGGGGGTCAAAACCCCCCAACTGAAACACCTCACTTGCCTGGTGCTCCTTCAGGTGTATGATGGGCTCAAGGTTGTTGTGGGGGCGGTGCAGGAATGTTATGATGCTGTGGCCAGCTGGGGGCTGGGCCCTAATTGGGGCTTGTTGACCAGGCTTCATTTTTTAAATAAAGTAAAATATTCTGTCCAGTGCAAAAGGTTTCAACATTGTCTTTATTTATGGCAGGAGTGGGAAACCTTTTTTGGGTTGGGGGCCACTGACCCACAGAAAAATCAGTCGGGGACCACACAAGTGAGAAGCCAAAAAAAAAAAAATCCTCCAAAACCCCCCAACTGAAACACCTCACTTGCCTGGTGCTCCAGCCCTGTGGGCAGGGAGCACTGAGGATCAAAGCCTCAGGACAGATTTACTCTTCTGGGATTCCAGGGTTAGTGGGACCCCTTAGGCTCTGGGGTGGGGCTGAAAATGAGGGGTTCAGTGTGTGGGACAGGGCTGCCAGTGAATGGAATAGGGATGGGGGTTCAGGATCTGGGCAGGAGAGAGGGTGAGAGTGAAAGTTCTGGGGGCAGGGTGTCTGGCTGGAGGAGAGGAGTGAGGAGGTGGAGGTGCAAGATCTGGGCATGAGGGGGTGGGAGGCACTTGTTTTCACACCACATTGCAGGCACCGTTTAACATGGCCTTCTGTTGCTCCCATTTGCCTGAAGGAAGCCTCTAGGAAGGATTTGTGGGGGAAGCCTGCAGGAAGTGTATCCCGGGGGAAGGAAAAGGGCACCGTGCGCAGAGCCATTTTTGATCCCATGTGGGGCTCCTCTTTCCCCCACCGCCACAGGAAGCCAGCGCTAGCGTTCCAGTCGTGCAGGGAGCCGTACGGCTGTAGCACCTGCTGCTGGGGGAGTTGGGGGGGAGGGGCTCCAGAAGAGGTTGCTAACCCCTGGTCTAGTCCATCCCCTTGGCTAATGCAAGATTGTTCTTGTCAGTGTATGTTCAGTGCTTTCTCCAACCTGCTTCTTAATGTGTCTATTGTTGTTTCCACCATTTCTCTAGAGACTGTATTACAAAGGGGTAGTGATCTAAAGACCTGTACAAATAAGGGTGGAGTGGGGTTGTTTCACTTCATGAGATCTTGGTTTCCTCCATATTCAGGAATTGCCCAGTTGGATTTTTCACTGAGTATTTTTAGCTTGCATTTGCAACTGTGTCCTGCTAACTAGCCTCAGTAATATGCCTGTACCTAGTTCTGAGATGACTGGTTCTAATTTTGTCTTACCTCTTTTTGTAGCGGATGACCATCAGGCCCTCATCTGGGATATCCAGCAAATGCCTCGTGCCATTGAGGACCCTATCTTGGCCTACACAGCAGAAGGGGAAATCAACAATGTACAGTGGGCATCAACTCAACCGGACTGGATAGCTATCTGCTACAACAACTGTCTGGAGATCTTGAGAGTGTAACACTATTGGTCTGTGCCAAACTGAGGCAGGGCTGTATAATTTCCCCTCCCCTCTAAAGTAAGAACAAACATGTTTCAAGTGGCCAGTATCTTTTGTTGCTTTGCATCTACTGTTCCAAGAAACTGTTACAGGAGTTAATGGCAGGTGTCGGCTGTCCCTACAAGACTCAGAAGCCGAAGGGACACACCCAGCCTCTTGGACATTCTGGGTTTTGATTTTAATATTTTTCTCAATTAAAAAGTTCTGTATATCTGTTTGACTGTGTTAATGAGCATTACAGACTTTATATGACTGTTTTAAGTTGTTGCATATGTTCATGTGTCTGTCAGCCAGCTGAGGCAGCACTTACATCTATCCAACTAATTGGAAGTGCAAAACTAGGTGGAAAGAAAAAAATATTAATATTAACCAGCACCTTTGCAGGAATTGTTAATCATTCCTGTTACTGTCCCTAAACCATTGGAAGGTTTATATGTTTTTATATATTGGACTAAGTTTCTCTTAAGTAGATTCTTCATCCCACTTCTTTTTGATATGTCATCCACTTCTATAAAGCCCAAAGTGGGATCTGCTGATACTGGGCCATAAGCATCATTGTAGGCTTCCTGGCAGTATAACTGTGGCTGTAGCTATTGCCTTGGATATGTGCCCCTGGCCATTTGGTCAGAATCACCTGGTGCTGTGAATTACTGTTACTTGTTGCACAGTTCTTTCAGCTTAACTGATGCTAGAGGCAGTTGTTACTGTGGTGGGCCTTTAGTTAGGTCAGAACTGAGTTATTGAGTCTCTCACAGCTGTATTACTTAACTAAATGGTGATAGGATTCATGGAGAAAAGATGCTAGCATAACTAGAGCTATTTTTGAAAATCTTTCTGGAAAACAATGCAACTTGCAACAGATTTTGGATCGACACATCCAGTCAAATGATTCCTCTAGAACGCTTCCAATTGGAATCATCATAAAATGGTTTCATACTTTCCAGTTTCCTTTTGATTGGCTACCGTAATCTAAGCAAAATTCTGTATCTAACTTCTAGCACGGAATTTCTGTTGCATTCAGCGCATCTTCTTGGGAGTTCAAGAAAGTGAAGAGCTAGCCTTTGTCCCTAAAAGCAAGGAGAGAAGCGTTAGCATCGTACTGTCAGATCTTGTTGGATGAATATGATAGAAACAGTCACAATAGTGGGGCTACTATCCAAAGGCAAGTCTTGCCCCTGTAAGGAAAAGTTTCCTAAAGTAACATACCGGGTTTGATCTAAAATAAAAGAAGATGCCTAATGTGCTTCTCAAATGGAGACCTTGTGTTTGGCTCTAGTTATCACTCTTAAGTACTGTCTCTTTTGTAAAAGGAGCAGGATAGGTGTGGTGTGGAGGGAACTTTCTATTTTCATCCAGGTTCCCTTTCTGAAATGGAAAGGTTAAAGGGGGGTGGTATCAGCTTTCTGTCACCATAATCCTTTGATTAAAGCTCCTGAAGGTTAGCAAAATTCTGTGTATCTTACCATGTGGTAGTTTGAATGTTGTCATTCTCTTGATTTGATGAGCTATCTTCAGTACCCTTCAGAAGAGAAGGTGACAAACTGAACACAACACTGTGGTGAGGTCTACGTACTGTAATGGTAGACTGAGCTGATGAGATCAATATCCAGATCAGCTGACACCAATTGATACCTTGAAAGACAGTCTTGATATTGAGTGAAAACCAAAGGCAGCATTATACTTAAAGATAATATCATACTGGAAACCTGATATTCTTAGAAAAATGAATTAAAAGTAGCTTTGGTTACAAACACCTTCTCTCCTGAGTCCTTGGCCAACTCTCTTGTAACCACAGCTGCTGTCTCTCTTGTTCTGATATAAGGACAAACAGGGAAAACTAGCCACCTGAAGTCAATTAAACACTCAGTCTTGCCTGCTGACCAATTAAATTGGGAAAAGAGATGTCTCCTCTTCCATTTGTAATCTTGGATGTTTCTAATAACAGGCAAAAAATTATTCTTCTGGTGACTTTAACCACGCCCCTGGAAAACTGAGTATACAAATGCACAATCAAATTTATCTGATCACCTCTCATTAGTGAGAGAGATTTACTTCTGTTAACAGTGCAGCGCCAACATCTCTCTGGGAGAATGAGGTGCATTCTGTTTAGTCTCACTCATCGTCAATAAAATTGATTACATTCAGATTACAAAATTGTACTGTTGTGAGCCAGAAAGAACTGTCTTGTGTTCAGATTCCTAGCGGTTGGCATGGTTGCCAGTTAGCTTCCATGTGCATCTCTGGTTTTCTAAGCAAATTTGCTCTGGAAATCATTGTTGCACAGGTGTGAAACTTGGTCACTCTTCAGAGTAGAGCTGCGCCTTTAAAATTAGAACTTAAATATACAAGCACATCCAAAAAACGAAGTTGCATTTCTCGTAGTAACATTGACTTATTGAGTAGGCCTCTTTTGTTGCACTTGTAACACTATTACATGAAAAATTTTTGCTTGTACAAAAATTCTTGCAAATGCAAATACTAGGCCCAGCGTAAACAAGCTAATCTCAAAAGTGTAAACTTTTTGCTTCCTGACTAATGTGCAGACTAAATGTGTTTACATAACATTGCAATAAGTTTTGCATTTTGTTTTTGGGGAAGTAGGATTTTGGAAGAGATGGGGGAAGGACTGCTTTGTATTTAAATAGTCCCAATTAGGCTCTGAAGTTTGTTGATGTAAATTATGTGGGTAAAGGCTGAGTTTGCTGCTGCTTGGCTGCAGACAGATTTCTGCAAGGCTCAGTTAAAAATATAGCTGTTCATCTGTTTCTAGCTGATGGTTTCAGCAGTAAAAAATTATAGTAACAATATACTTTCATCTGAAATCTTAATATTTGCAGAATTACAAAGAATGTATCAAAAACGGTGGCCCTCATGATCTTAACCATTTCTTGTCTATCGTTTTCTCTAGTCTCTCATGTTGACAGGTTCATGTTTCAGTTAGAAACTTGAAATTTCCTACAAACTGCTAAGAATCGGGCCAAGCATTGAGCTTATGGTTTCTCTGCCCATTACTGACGGTATTATGCAGAGAGGTATAGAACATGCGTCTTGATTCTTCTTTGTAGAGTCTTGTACCATGCCCATTACTGTGGTATCTGAATACCTTTACATCACTCTCTTCCTCCTGCCCAGCTGAGGAAGGGAGATTTTCATGGAACTGTTTTAGCTGATGTAGTGAGAGAGAGAGCATGAACTTTTTTGCATTAAGGAAGGTGAATAAACTAACAGTTGAAGGGATTTTCCAAAAATATAATCCCACCTAAACCAAGAACAGCGTTTAGACCAATGAGAATTGAGCAGTAAGAGCTTGTGACGACGCATCTCATTTTCACAGGCTGTTATGAATAACTGTATGAAGTTGTATACCTTTCACTACCAGCAGAAATGGTACTATTTCATACAATGAGGAGACCTCAGCTTGGGGACTTCTTCCATAAGATTTCTTGTCAAACATTTGTGGCTTTGTCTGTAGGGATTAGGCTCCTGATCCAAAGTTCCTGGAACACGGTGGAAGCATTCCTATAGGCCTCAGTGAGTATTGAATTAAGGCCCTATATCCTTGCTGCCGTTCACCTGACCAGTTGGCTACCTTTGGCCTCTTTACTTGCCTTGGGTAATATCTACAATGTCTATACAGAATTTTGCCTGGCGAGGGGAGAGAGGGGACTTTAGACGAGTGGTTCTCAGCCTGCAAGCTGCTTGTGGCCCATTCAGCACATAGCTGCAGCCCATGTGACCGCCTCGGGGCCATATGGGTAGTGTGGATGCAAACCACATAATGCAGAGAACTGCATGTGTGGCCCACAATGATTAGTAGGTTGAGACCCACAAGTGCAAACTTTTCCTAAGTATCTATGAGCTTGGCACAGAAGTTGCCTAATGGTACTGAAGTGCCATTTCTCCTCCCACTTCACCAGTTTTGTGTAACTTCTCTGGCTGGCTAATTCCAGCTATTGGGCTGCATTTTGAAAATCCAACAGCCCTGGTCACCAATGATCACAGGGGCAGCTAATGTGTTTTGGCACCCAGTCCAAAGATGTGATTTCCATCTTAATATAAAATGTGTGGTGAGACTCTAAACATTAGCTGAAGGATGGGCTTGTGAATGAGTGTGTTAAATCTGGATATCATAGAATTAAATTTGTTTGTGGTAAATTGTTGTAAGTAAACTTGCCCTGCCATGTGCTATTTAATAGGCAAGAAGCTGAGAGTTTTGACAATCTCCTGAGTAAGAAATTCAGGTCTCAAAGTGCAAAAAGAGAAGACGTTTGCAGTGCAAGTTGTTCCTTACTTTAATGCCCCCGGACACTTACGAGGAGCCTGTTATGAATCAAAATTCATGAACTCTTCAAAATTTAGTTACGATCACACACCTGCATTGCTCTTTTGAACACCTTGGATAATAAAGGTCAACAACCAGAATAGATTCAGTGTTGAGATGATAAATATGCAGGTGCTTGATCTGTGGCTTTGTGTTTAGATTAATGTTGACCCATACATACATTTTGAACTTAAAGTTTAAACAATAAGTTAAGGAAACTGAACATGCCTGGTTATATGCTTGAAAAGGCACTTTAGCAGGTGTATTTTTGTTAGGAAGGGAATAACCTCTTCTTATCCAGTCCTTTAAGGTTGGAGTTTGACTCTGAACCCTGTGTCTCATTCATAAAACATTAAATACAGTGTGAGAATTTCACGATTGCTGAAGTTCCAAACTGGTTCTGGTTGGCAGCACATAGTGACCTCTTTCACACCACCGCCACCTGAAAGCAACACCAAAAATGTGAGCACTTGAAAATGCTATTAACACTATGAAGTGTGAGGCTTTATATTCAGATAACAGTATGGTCCAGTAGGGATCACTCAAGCACTTGACTTTGCCTTTTGCCCAAACAAAACTTTCTTTGCTTCATTGGGGTACTTCTGTTATTGCCTAGTTGTGTTTGGAGGGCGAGGGGGGGGTGGGAGGGAGACTGGAATTAGGTGCCCTTTAAAACATACAGCAGTAAAGAGGTGGTTTGGGTAGATAGGTGGTATAGGATATAGATGAATTCTGCTGTCTTTGTCAGTTCTGTAATGTCAGTAAAACTGACGTAGCTTTCTGCAACTTAAGATGCAGAATTCAAAGATTTTTAACTTTGTAAATTTTTTGGTACTGACTAGTTTAACTCTTTCAGTACAGCACAGGCAGAAATGGATAAATCACAGTGTGCAGCTGGGTGTACAACAGGGCTGTTCAATTGTTTATAGCCCAATCAAAGTATTGAAAGAGTTAGTCCACTACCTCCATACAAAATGGTTCTGCCACTTCAAACCCAAGGGGAGCATTATCTGTCAGTGGACAGTCAGGATATCTCTGATTTTGGTTGCCTTTCTCTATAAGATCATTGGTTCAAATCCCAGTCTAGACACTGTTTTGACTGGCTGATCAGTGACCTGTATGAATTGAAATTGTTTTCAAATCTGATTCCTAATAGGTAGGAGTACATATGGCTCTGGATGGGCCCCCTTGTTAATGTCTGCAGGGAAGCCCAGGGATTTAACAGTAGGTGGTGCTTTTCCATGCTTGCTTCGCTACCAGATTCCCGTAGAGAAGGTATCTCTAGGTCATAGGTGAGGCAAACTGGCAAAGGGATTGAGTGGAGAAATTTGCATAGCCTGTGCTGTAGTCAGAGGGTCTCAGTGCCTAAGACTTTTGATCCTGCACCTTTCACCAGCACTGAAATAGTAACTGCCATTTGGAGGCAGAGCATAGAGGCAAGAGCAGTTCTAAGAGGACTGCTGGAAAGACTTTAGTCTACCCAATATCTCATATTTGCCTCCTCTGGCGCACAGATACTGAGCATGAATCTAGAACTTCTTTGCTATTGAGAAAAATGACCTGCATGGTTTCCTTTTCAGACAAGCAAACAAAGGACAGGGTTTGTTTTTTTTTCTAATTCTTGTAAGATTCTGTCGCCACAACAAACTACAGGCCCTGTAGTTCCATCTCTTATTTGTACCCAGTAGTCGGCATCTCTTGGAATTTCAGTTTTCCTATTTGTAAAATACACACGTTTTCCTTTAATGCGAGAGTATAACTGGTCAGGCACATCGAAAGAAGGCATAAAGAGCTTGCTAAATAAAGGGGGAAAGACTCTAGTAGTAAATAGAGCTGCTGTGAAGCATGTGGTTTGGTTTGGTTTTTGACAACCTGGTGGACACAAATTGTGGCGACTGCTATTTAAAAGGAACTGATTCTACTCCGGTTGCCAGCAGTGTGCAATGTAATGATTAAATCTGTTGAGCCCAAGCTTTTTTACCACTAGTAGTTAAGTAGGAGATGTTCGCTTCTGTTGCGTGTATTCCCTTCTGCTGTTCCCATTTAAAGTCTCATTGTGATAACTTCCTGAAGGTGTGATCTTTGTAGCATGATTGTACAAACATACATATGAAATCCAGATTTCTTGTTCTCACTAAAATGTTAAAGCAATAGTGACTTTTTACTACTGTCCTGCATAGCCAGGGTGTTTGCACCCTTTTTTCCTCCCTCTTTCATAGTGCTTGAGATTTGCAACTTTACTACTATACTGTACTAGAGGAATCATAGCATCTCGTTATCAGGAGACCCATACATGTTGCCACAAGTAACTGCAGTGTCCTGGTATTCCTTTTTTATTATTTTTATGAAGAGAAAGTGTAAAAGGCTTTGTTACAATGGATTTTAACACCCAAACCCTGAAACCATATTATTGAAACTCTGTAAATTAAGTCAATCTTTTATGAAACCACTTGAAAGTGGAATATTGCATCCTTTTATGCTATTTCCTGCTTCCTATGTAGTTTTACTCAATTTTTTTAACCTTTTTAAGTTTCAACCACCTGTGTATTAGGTACAGTATTTTCTGCCTTTCATACTTTGTAATAAAAATGGAACATTTATAGATTGATTGCACTTTGCTGTGTGGTGAGTTAAAACTGATTTCATGTGAGCAGGAAACTGCTTAAAATGGTTTTCGATTTTTGTTTTGTTTTGTGTCTTATTGCAAGGTCCCTGATGTGCGGAGAAAGGAGTAATGGGCTTCCTGAGCTAGTGGAGTTGAGTGATCATCTCTGTTCTACTGTGTCGGGTCCCAGACAGAACTTGACCAATTTGGGTTGCTAGTAACACGTGACAAACTACATACCAACACATCAATTCATACAGCTAAATTTGAATGACCAGTTAAGGTAAATACCCACCAGCCCCCAATACTACATAACCTGGTTCTTTGGATTCTCCTCTCCTTCAGGATTTTGGCCTTCACTAAATGGCATTTCAAAGCACAATAATTCACTAGTACCTGTTACAGTGATCAAAATAAAGTTTGGACATGGGATTAATTTTGGTTTAAATGATCCCTGACGTTTAGATTAGTTGTAACTTTAGGACAAAATCATCCTCTAGTCTAATTGTGGACATCACTGTGTCTTTCCAATTAGATTATCTTCTAAACAGGCACCCTGCCCCTTCTCAGATGGAACCATTTGTTTTGTATAATATGGTGAAGTTAATTCGTGTCTAAACTGAAGCTCTTACTTGACTTCATAAGAGCAGAGTAGAAGAGGATGTGTTGGCGTTAAACTGATAGCTCTCATATACAAATAAAAGCATTCTGATTGGCTGCAGTTCCATAAACTATCTATTGTCCATGAAAATAAACTAGTTACTTAATCTCTATCTGCCCTCTCATTCTTAGAATTTTGGTTTCAAATGAAAGGCTTACTAAACTTGATGGCAGGGGTGGGGAACCTTTTGGGGGCCAGAGGCCACCAACCGCAGAGAGATCAGTCCTGGGGGCTGCACAAAAATGCTAAGCGTACACACACACACACACACGTTGTTGTGTTGGGGTGTTTTTTGCATTCATTTTTATTTTGAATTTTAATGTGATGTCTGAATTTGCTTTTTGCAGGGCAGGAGGGGGGAATTCCCCCTCCTTCAGGTCCTGCATGCCTCCTTAACTGTTAGAGGCATTGCTGGCAGCGTATGGCTCCAGTCTGCCAGATGCTGTTCCCTGATGCAGCCAGCCTATTCAGGGAAGGGTGGGGGAGAGAAGCTGGCCTTGCTGTGGCCTCCCCTTCCTCCCCAAGGGTGTCCCATGCAGGGAGGGATTTGGGGGCTTCCCTTCCCTCCCACTCTGGGAATGGATTCCCCCACCTTCCCTCTCCTGTCCTCTGGTCCTGCATGCCTCCTTACCAGCAAAAGGAGTTTTGTTGGCAGCCTCTGCAGCTGCTGGAGGCTGGAAAGCAGCTGCAGCCTCTTTTTTTTGCTGCTGCCTCCCAAAATGCCGTAGGGCTGCACCACATGGAGCTTCTCCCTCCCACCAGGTCTCCTGCGCACACCTCTCCCACTGCAGGAGAGGAACCAGAAGTATCCAACTGAGCTTCAATATCCTGCTGTGCTGCAGGGGAGGCTGGGGGAAGTTTTTAAAGCGGCCCCTGGGACCTCCTTGACATGTTTCACAGCCTCTGGACCTCCTGCCCCCTGAGGGCTGGATGAAATTGTTTGGCGTGCCGGATCCGGCCTGTGGGCCGGAAGTTCCCCACCCCAGCTTTATGGTTCTAAAGAAAGGAGTTACCTCTGAAGACACTTAAGATACTCAAGTACTTTGTTCCATTAATCAAGGTTGAGAGGAAAATACTGACAATGACCTTTTTGTTTCTATTTGTCATAATGTCAGTCTGAAATGTTTTACCTCTAGAGAATCATGGAATACTAGAACTGGAAGGAACCTCAAGAGTCCCAGGCCCAAAACTGACCCCTGTGGAACCCCACTTTGTTCCAGCATGACACTGAACCATTAATAACTACTATCTGAGAGTGGTTATCCAGCCAGTTATGCACCCACCTATGTATTTCCCTAGTCTATTGATAAGAAGGTCATGCCAGACTATCAAAAGCTTTACTAACGTCTAGGTATTTCATGTCCACAGCTTCTCCCCTAACCACAAAACTTGTTATCCTGTCCAAGAAAACTATCAGACTGGATTTTTTACATCCCAAAGTGCTGGTTCCAGAAGCTACACTTCACTGTTCTCTAGAGAAACCTTTCCCAACTGCCTTCCCCTCATTGCTGTCTCCACTATCTCTGGTGGAGTGTCATGTCAACAATTAGTTGGCATATCAGAGTGTAGCAAGTCAGCCATTTCCCGCTTACAACAAGCACATTTGTCCTCAGACTTTTTAACTCATTCTGACTTTTGCCTTGTATAGCTTCATGCTCTGGCTATGAGAGATCCAGCAAAGCCCGGACAAATGACTGTTCTTAGAGGACTAGCTTGTGCGTCCAGACATGCAGCGAGAAAAGTGTTTGTCACCTTGATCACCTTTCCCATTCCTTGTCAGCCTCACATGTATATTTCAGTGTGCCTGTTTGCACACCTGGCTTCAGCACCCAGCTCCCTCCCCTGCCTTTGCTTTCCATTAGGGTTGTAAACTCCTGTTTAACAGGCTAACTGATTAAAGGAGAGGGTGGGCAGGGGCCATCACTCCACCCTGGCTGGAGCACCCCCCCTCCCTGCCCACCGCTGGGCTAGAGTGCCATTCCACCTCCCACCCCTCCACCATACGATGTGGCATTGGTTTTTGAGTTCTGTGTGTCTGAAACAGGTAATGCCATTTTTGACAGTCCCATCCTCTTCCCTCACTTATCACTGATGAGGGGGGTGCTCCCACAGCCAGGGTGCGGCAGATGCTGGGGCCCACCTGGGATATTCCTAGGGAGTTCATGGCCTATTTGATCCTTCCCAAATAGGAGGGTACAGCTCATAATTCTTTAAATAAAAAGGCTTAGAGTACCCTCTGCTGGGCTGATGGATCCAAGCTAATTAGAGATGGTCCTTCTTTTGGGGCTGTTGTAGTAGGCTTGTCTTCTGGGAGTAAGCAGTAGAAGAGCTATTGAAAACTATATTTAATCTAGCTAAATAAAAGTCTGGGTTTTTTCAATTTGGACATGGTGACAATCAGTGGGATTTTGAAGAGATTGGGAGGGCCCTCAAAATAATTAGGAAAAGCAGCCAGGGTTGTCCAATATCCTCTGGCAAATGTTCCCAAGAAGAAACTTGGGTGGGGATTAAAGGACTGTACTAGCAATTGAGATACCAGCGTTGGTGCTCAGAAGAGGGCAAGTACTATGGAATAGAAGTAGGGAGATGTCACTTCGGTATGCAGTGTCAGCGAGACCTCTACTGGAATATGGTGTCCGGTTCTGGTGTCTTGTTGGGCAGAGGCCTGTCTGGACTCTCGAGCGGTCCAAGGTAACAGAAATCCAGTTCTGACTGTTATATAAAATGTAGACAAAGATACAAAAGGAGAACAGATTGGATTAGTCCAAACAAGTAAAGATCCATGTGCAGCTAAAAGACTATGCTAAGACAGTGTCTGGAAAACAAGAGGAGAACAGAACTGGAAATTAATGGGCCATAGTTGGTGTATTGGCAAGTAAGTCTAACTAATGAACAAAATAATGAGGGGATGGGCTGTTCTGGTCAACAATGCCTTTTGGGGTCCTTCAAAGAGAGAGTTCAGCTGCGGGAGAAGAGAGCAAAATGTCTGAGGATGTGGACTGGAAGAAGCAAGTTTGGAGTGGTTCTTCAAGCCCCAACTCTTGGAGTCATGAGAGAATCTTAGTCTTTATTTTTTATATTAAGTAAATTTCTGGTGGTGTGGGAGAATGCTGGAAGCGTGGGGGAAATCCCATCCCATTCTAAAGTACAAAAGCTTCAGAGGGGTAGCTGAGTTAGTCTGTAACAGGAAAAACTTAAAAAACAACAAATAGTCTTTGAAGTGCTACTAGACTAACAAATCATGTAGATGGTATCATGAGCTTTCGTGGGGAAAAACCCATTTCTCCGGTCATCTGAAGAAGTGGGCTGTGCCCACAAAAGCTCATGATACCATTTACATGTCTTGTTAGTCTATAAAGTGCTGCCAGACCGTTTGTTGTTGTTTTTTTCTGTTACAGACTAACTCGACTATCCCCTGAAGCTCCTCTATATGTTTTAGCGACGAGGAGTCCTGTGGCACCTTATAGACTAACTGAAGTGTAGGAGCATAAGCTTTCGTGGGCAAAGACCCACTTCGTCAGATGCATATAGTGGAAGCAGCCCAGCTCCAGAGTGCAGGGGGCGGGTCCCAGGGCCGTAGAAACAGAATTCCCACCCAAAGGGAATCAATCAATTATCTTACCCATTACAAAGATAGCTTCCCCAATTATCACCTCTAATATCATGCATCTGACGAAGTGGGTCTTTGCCCACGAAAGCTTATGCTCCTACACTTCAGTTAGTCTATAAGGTGCCACAGGACTCCTCGTCGCTTTTGCAGATTCAGACTAACACGGCTACCCCTCTGATACTCTATATGTTTTGTTAGTCTTTAAAGTGCTACTAGACTGGTATTTTTTAAGTACAGTTAATCTCTAGATTTTTAAGCAACACCCACAACAATTGGAAGCTGTTTTTGAAAGCATGGACCCAGCAATCCTGTAACAGAGAGGGAGCAGTTCTGGTAGCCCAATCCCAAAGAAGATCTATTGGACTTGGGAAAAGTATATCATAGAATCATAGAATAATAGGACTGGAAGGGACCTCGAGAGGTCATCGAGTCCAGCCCCCCGCCCTCAAGGCAGGACCAAGCTCCACCTACACCATCCCTGACAGATGTCTATCTAACCTGTTCTTAAATATCTCCAGAGAGGGAGATTCCACCACCTCCCTTGGCAATTTATTCCAATATTTGACCACCCTGACAGTTAGGAACTTTTTCCTAATGTCCAATCTAAACCTCCCCTGCTGCACTTTAAGCCCATTACTCCTTGTCCTGTCCTCAGAAACCAAGAGGAACAAATTTTCTCCTTCCTCCTTGTGACACCCTTTTAGATATTTGAAAACTGCTAGCATGTCCCCCCT